TTGATGTGAAAGGTAGCCCTTTTAAGCTCCGTCGTCTTGGTTCTTCCATAAGATTGTATTGGACATTTATTTCTGCAATGTCTCTTATGATCTCAGTCCTCTCATGCTCTTATACGAAGCGTGAAATTTGAATGTGAAATTTGCTTGTAACTCGAACAAACTGGTGGTAATCTGAGGCTGCAAAGCCGATATATTTACTGGGTTCGGGAGTGATTAACACTTTGGAAGTTTGCCCACAAAATACCTACAGTTACAACACTTTACATTATATCCTGTTGAAGCGCTTTGAGATGTCTCAGCGACATAATACATATATCAGATGCCAGGATTATTTAATATTTTTACTGGTAATTAATATTCCCTTTAATAAAATGATTTTTACATTTAGTCTCATAAAAGCTACCTCAAATCTTATTTTAGATCAGTTAAAGATTTCAGAAGGTATGCATCCCATGTTACCATGTATGTTACCTTACATAGTTACTGTAGATTTATACACTACTGAACAAGAACTTAATAATAATAACAATTGCATTTGATATAGTGTCTTGGATGTACTCCATCCTTCAATGTACTCCATCAACCTGATCACAGCATCAACTATACCTCCCTCTGCCCTCTTTCCTCCCACTTGTTCCCTTCCCTTCATTCTAGTTCACTCTTTTCTATTTCCACCTCTCTCTCTCTCTCTCTCTCTCTCCCCCTCAGCATCCTTCCATTCTCTCTCTCGTTTTGCATTAGAATTATTTGCCTTACATGCCGTTTTGAAATGCCCGATAAAGTTGAATTTTCTATGTCTAGACCGCGTGAATTATTTCACAGGACAGATGTGGGCAAAATGTCGGAAATTAAAATTTCTTTGTAAACTTTTTAAAAAAAAAATTCTACCCACTTGCAGCCAGTGAATTAACATGGTTCCCCCCCCCTCGAGTATTGTCCTCTGGGAGAATAACTTACCTTTTACGCGTGCGTGCGTGTGTGTGTATTTTTTTCCCATCTCATCTTTGGAATTCCACAGATTTTTTTTATTGATGCCCTTTAACTTGTGATTAACTTCATTCTGATGTGGCTGTGTGGTTTCTCTCTTTGTACTCAGGTAGAAGAATCCGTCTTCATGCATCAGCATTTCCTCTGGTCTGTGTTGCTGGTAAATCTTCAGGCTGTGCCTAGGCATCTGTCATCACTTGTATTGCGGATGCTTACCCGTTGTGTCCTTTGGGTTTGTGCCAGTGCATGCTTTCATTTGTTGCTCTGTAGCATATTCTGTGTATTGTTTTTCTGTGTCTTTGATTTTTACGTCACGGCCATTTCAGATTCCTTTGCTGCATGTTTCTCCACGTTTCTGTTTGTACCAAATCTATTGTAGTGATAAGAGCGGGTGGGGGCAGAGATCAGGAGGCAGGTGGAGAAAGACACGTTGGCTTGTCTTTCGGAAGCAATGCCTCTTGTTTTTGAGAGTTCATCGTCCACAGACCTGGACTATCAGTACTTGTGTTGTATCTATTTGTTCCTGTAGATTATATGGTCCAACCTCATTTGGAGTCTTAATGTTTGATACTCATGTCATTACGTCAATCCGCTAGTGACTGTTTATTAACCTGTGTTCCAAATCGCAGAGTTTCATTTTATCTGCAACTTCATATTTCTATCGATTATCGTTTTATTTTTCAATGCGGACATCTGGGAACAAATTGTTCCAATTGATAGCTCCAAACGAGCATGTTTGCAATGCCATTAAAGGACACTAAATTTAATTTGAAATCTAAGTCAGCATTTTAATTTGCAGTGTGTTAACAACCAAATTGGTATTAGGACTGCCGGTAAGCAGAGTGAGCGTGTGTGTGTCTGCGATCAGCTGACTTCAGCTCAGACCAGCGATTGAACCTTCCTGATGTGTTAGCCTCTACCACACTATTTGATTCATCAGTTAGCGTTTTTTTTTAGCACCAGTGTTAGAGGACAGGCCTAGAACGTGCAGGATTCAACATGTGACTCTTTTTAAGGATTGAAAGTGTGTTGTGCCATCTTTCCATCCGCACTATCTCTGTATCTGAGTTTGGAAAATGTGACGACTTCGAGGAGACCGTTCCTTACTCTTGTTTCCTTCGGTTTCTCTGGAACCATTCCTTGTACACGATGAGTCATATTTTTAGCGACTGAATAGAATTTTCACACAGACCAGATGGGCATTCTCTCTCTTAACTGTCTGTCCTCTGTGACTACAGTCTCTAAGCAGGAAAATTTGGATTTTGATCTTGTGCAGTACTAGAGTAAATGGAAGTGAAGTTGCTCTGCTTACCATATGGGTCTTCTATTGACGAGACTAATACTTGAAGGAAAAGGATAAGGTCGGGAATACTCCCTGGTAGGTCGTGCCTGTCAGAACATTTGATTTGGAATAGTTTGAGGGCTGAACTCAAGTTGCCCATCAGGTTAAAAATAATTCTATCACTGAATGCTCAACTGGGAATTAAGTGAGCATCAGGCATTACAGGATTGGCTCCCGGATTGAGCCAAAGCCCTGGTCTCCATCAGAATTAATGGAGCTGTTCCAGCAAGCAAGTGGACCACCCCTAAACCTTACATCACCAAAGCAGCTTGAAGGAGAACAGAAACCCTGGGCCTTTATGTGCCTTAAAATAAACTACAGAAACATTTTAATGTACTGTGCACTGCACTGCGAGGACGAGTATATATCTTGGCAGATGTTTCCATTTGAGATGATTCTTCCAGATGACAAGCTGCCAGTTCTACCCAGAATGTCCGTCAGTCTGGGAAGAAGATCAACCTATTAAACCAAATTTACATTTATTCATTCAAAGAACGTCCTGACCATAAAATTTATACCGTACTTTTTCATTGTGGGAATAAAGAAACAATTGTGCATTTGACTACTCCTGTCGACAATTAGATACCAAAGTACAGTGCTATCGGCAATAGAAGAGAATACAAAAATACTATCATTGAAGTGAGGGAGGCTGATTCATTCTAAGCACAAACTTGTGCGAGAAATTGGTTTACATAGGAATCAGGAAAGTTATTGCAGTTAAAGTGCAGTCCCTGTGCTATTTTAGTGACATTTACAGACAGATTTCTGCCTCATATTTATTAATATCTGTATAAGTAAAGTTTAGCTGGTTAGTTTAATTAAAGAAATACCTTTTAAAAGCGGGAAAAGTATCTATTGCGAAAAACTATGTAATTTTACTAGTTCAGCATTTTCCAATCCCATTGAGACTGTTAAGCAGAGGTACTGAAAAGCTATTTTACCTTTCATTGTACCTCGAATACCAACAAATTGTAATGTTTTATGGGGAATAAGAAACACCTGCAGAATAAACAAATTTTCTGCATTGAGACTTTAACGATGACCTTTACTTTTATATTAAAAAAAATTCCAATTGTCACGTACCTTAACTGTTTGGCTGTGAAATTTCATTTATCTAAGTGACGATATTGTTTCGAATGATTTTGTCAACCACAGAAACATTTTTTCTGCCAATTCACCCAGTCTCCTGCAGCGGTGTGTTACATTTGCTAATGTCAGAACATTTTAAGTAGCCAATTTAGATGATGATGGTATAAATGCAGCATAAATCAAAAGTACAATGAATTTTTTTTAAAAGAAACAAAACTGCTATAGATTGCAGCACTACTTATCTGGTCACTTAGTTACAGGTAATGTACCTAATGCACAAAAAGGCTGGATGCCTTCTGTATCTTGTTCTGACATTTTACCAAATAGTTTTTTTGTTTGCTGCTAACTGCAGTATTGTTACAGCTGCGCACTGTTAACTAAAACAGCGTGTAATGTAAAAGCACAGCCAGCAGATGTCCTTGAGCAGTTACAATGGAACCAGAAGCCTGTGGTGCAAATTCACTGCTTGTGTTGAGTTGCGATTCAGCTTTCATTATTAATAATAATACACTGAGAAGCGTGAAAGTCATAAGATGATTGTGTACACATCAAGTTGATTTCTAGATTATAGCCTTCGACACGACAGGTTCCAGTTTATTCAATTTGATATTTATTGCGGGAAATTGTTTTTGAGTAACTTGGTTGTGAAAGAATCGGGACAGAAGATAGTGACGGACCTGAGATCAGACCATACAGACCTCATAGGAAATCCATTCCCTCCACGGCCAAAGTCAAATTCTTGATACAACTTTGTTCTTGCTAACTGAGCAAAGTATCATGTATCATCAGCCCGTGACCCCGATTCTTTTTTATAGTTATTTTCCAGGCATGTTTTTATGGTCCAATGCATTTTAAATAGATTCCTGAAAATATCCAAACAGAAAATCTAAACTTCAGAAAGTTTCGGGCTGAACAAATGAATGGATTTTGGCTGATTGATTGATTGATTGATTGATTGAGTGCACATATTTATTAGAAATGAATACCGAAGCTGGCTTTAATTATTACATACCGCATCAATAAAGCAGTTTACCATAATTTAGTCGTCCACAGATCCCGTAGCCTTTAACACTACGGCTTAATGCATTGACTAGTACGCGTTACTTTGTAATCTTTCGAAAGCATATTAAAGTACACAACTTAGAAATATTGCAGCAACCTGTCGCTTGGTTTACAAAAGTTACATGCTTATTCTAGCCTGCTGCTAATACACTGTACATATTTAAATTGAGAATTATATCGTCATTTTGGTCCTAATAGATTCTACTGAAAGGTGTATGGCACATCTGCAGTGACCTATTGTTTATTCATGCTGTAAATCCTTTGAAATGTGTTAGAATGCTTCCCACTCATTAAAAAAAATCCTGCCACCCATGGATTAAGACTTTGATGTCACCAATCCTGCTTCAAAGGATCCTTTCAGTGCTATTAATCACAGTTTAGCCTCTGAAGATGTAGCCAGAGAAAACATTTGGACATCTTGTGCGAGAACTTTGAAATGTATTGAGTGTCTTGCGGATGCTTATTTAGTATCTCTTCCTTTCTCACTGCCTGTATAATACTTTGCTTTATCTCTTCCCAGGTAACTTAGCTCAGTCAAGAGTACGAATAACTGCAGCTTCCAGGTCACTTCCTCCACAGCTTACTCCAGGTCGTATTAAGGTTCGTACATCTTGTAACTGAATAACTTGTCATTCTAGGGGCTGGTTCTACGTACCTGCCTGCCTGGTGTCCAGCACTGTCGTTCCATTTGGTTTATAATGCTCTTTAGACCCTTTTGGGTTTATTCTATTAATTACTTACGACACCATTGTTATTCAACCACACAGTTTGCTACCTGTGATTTCTCTCAACCCAATTATATGGCAATAACAGTCCTTTACAATTAATCGAGCACCTTTCACATTGAGAGGAGGAGTCTATAAGGTCTATAAAGGGTGTGCTATAAAGTGTATTTTGCACCCGAATGCGGTAACCAGGTTACGCATAGCAATATCCCACAAGCAACCATAAGTTGAATGAGCAATTTCACCTGGTAACTTAACTATACATGAAATCATTTTGTTTACAAGGAATCAATCAAGATTAAAAAAAACATGTGAACAGACAGATTGATTATTGTGATCCTCTAAAATATAGTTTGTGCAAGCTATCGCTGAAGAAGTATCAATGGTAAATTAATTGATGTAACCTCTAATATAATAATAATAATATTAACAAGCCTTGCATTTATTTAGTGCCTTTCACATCAGGAAGGCGTCTCTTTTAAAGCGTTTCACAGAATTTACTGTAAAGTGCAGTGACTGTGTATTTTGTGGGTCAAATTATAACTGAGAATTAATGAGAATTTGTGCTTTCAATAATTAAAACTAAAGTTTAGACGCGATTATTTTAATTGCGTGTAATCGAATTCCATCTCGCATTCAGTTTCTGGATTCTTAATGTGCACCCTATGGTCTGAGTGGCAAGGTTTTAGAATATTCCTCTTACAACTGTAGCTTCAAAGAAAACAATTCAAGTCAAACCAATCAATACACACAGCCAGCACAAATTCAATATATACTTTTTACTGCACTTCTGCAGACAATGTCTAGCTCTAACTCCTTCGTCAAGCAAGAGTGTCTCGCGTGATCTTTGGAAACTGCAAAAGACTTTGGCGTCTTAACTGAATCCAGAATTACTCCTGGGTTTCCCTGGAAGAGAAGAATACAAGCTGTGAGAAATAAACACAGTCTAAATAATTACATTCACACCACCATGCGAGAGACTAAATAATGAACCTCCCCGCTGAAAGCACAAATTCTTCAGAAAGCTGATATTTACTTGCTCACGTGACTGGCTGAAATGCTTTGATGTTGTGTATGCTGATGCAGATTTTTTTTCGCAGGGACCGAAAGCTTTTGTTTAAAACGATTCACTCTGTTAACTTATCTTTTTTGAATACAAATTATAAATGTTTTCTGCAAGACCCTGGCTGTGAAGAATTAAGAAGCCGCGGTGTAGATGTGGAGCAGGGTTTAAAGCAACATGATTTAGTTCTTACGGAATAGTCATTTTTTTTCTCTGCCTCCAACTCACCTAATCTTAATGCTAACCTCGTGAGTCTTTATTTCCAGTATTTCTTCTTGAATAACAATCAATTGAGGCTTTCTATATTGTTGATTATCTTTCATTCTCTTTACTCTCTATACTCAGTCTCCTCAATGCTTGCTCAAGGTAAGAACTGTTAAACCAAATGCCAATTAATATCAGATAGCACCTTTAAATATTTCCAAAAGTAGGTGTATATTTGGGGTACAGAAAGCTGCTTTTCTCTGCATTACTAGAAAATTCAATGAAACTAACTTCCTTTTCTGAATGGGAAGAGAGAAAATGGTGTCAAGAAAAATATCTCCCGATAATGTTGCTTAAAGATGCATTGCCAAGCTTTCGTTTGTAATTTACAATAATTTTCACAAATGTCTTGCATGTTTATCCTTCATGTTTAGGTCCACAACACACACACACACACACACACCGTACTCTGTTTCTAAAAAAACTAGACAGAAGTTCTCCATTTCTTAGAATAAAAATTCTTCAGTTCTGCACTTGACAGCTGATAATTGTGTGAGGAATGCATGGGTCAATTCTTCTCTACCTTTTTTTCTAACCTCTCTTTGATAGAATTTGCATCCATTAATAGAGTTGTCACCTTCTGCCAAGTACAAAACTCACTATGGGGCAGGGTACTGATAGGATGAAAGGGTGAGATAAAGGCTTTATTTCTGTTACCGCCTATGAAAATCCATCGACAAACGTAACTAACTTAAATTCCAGATCATCAGACACAGAGACAAGTGAGAAAAGCATTCCTGATGTCATGATATTGTCATGTGTTCTTTGCGACCAACATTTAGACTGTCCGGCTGAAATCCATGTTGACTTGACATGACATGAATCCTGCATTGCACAACTGAGGAAGCTTGATTCTAGTATTTTAACTACAACCTCACACATATTTGACTCAGAAGAATTAGTTCTGTTCATTCGATGTTATCTCTATAATGCTGATTCCACATCTCGGAGGTCATTATAATGGTGGCCCAAAAATATATGAAAATTTTCTTTTCTCGGAGAATTTTGTTCCTGCAGATTGTAAACATTTCAGCCGGGTGTCTGACACGTGCTTAAAGTGTATCCAAACCGAACTGAGATTTCCATGCATCCCAAACTACACGTGGAAATCCTAAAGATAGATTGTTGGAGTGGAATCCGCTCTCTCTCTCTCTCTCTCTCTCTCTCTCTATCTGGAGGGATGCCCTCTGCTTACCTAATTCCAGAAAATATAAGGCACAAGTTGGCAAGAGCCAAGGCTTGGGGACCCCAGAGTGTGCGTTGGGGTAACTGCTGCAGCCTAACCAGCTAAAACCGCTATTGATATCGCCCTCTGGCAAGCTTCCCCGCTGCTTGTCCAGCTCGGACCACTCGACCCATTAGGGCATTGGCTTGTGACACGTAAGAACAGAAACCCTGGCAATCCAAAGCAGGTCAAGCAACATTTAAAACCAAAGGAATAGATGATTGTGTTGAGCACGACCCTCATAAGAACTGGGATGCTTTCATTCACAATGTCAAACTTATCTTTTTGCTTCCGGTATTGATTGGGCTGCTGTGGAATTTCAGTGTTACTGTTCTTATTTTATCATCTGCAATTTTTCTTTTTCTAGTAGTGGAGCACAGCAGCTTAACCTCTATGTACATAGACTACGTCAGTACTTATCCCTCTGCTGTTTGCAAAGATGGCAGTGTTGCAGATTTAACCTTCCGAGCATTCCTTTCCTTTTGGCTAAGTTTCAAAATACCGTATGTGTGAATCTCTGTGACTTGCACTTCGCTTTGTAAAAATGTTTTGCAAAATTCTTATTGTGACTTTGGCAGAAATGCACGAAACCACAGAACTAGTGATGGGAGGTATAACATTGAAAGTCTTCAAGAACACTAAAGGTTAAATTAAAAGCCTTCTCTGTGGAAAAGATTCGGAACAAATCAACAACAAATTACATTTCTATAGCGCCTTTCATGTCGGGAGGATGTCCCAAGGTGCAATTTGAACCCTCCAAAAATGTTTTATTTAATTTACCGTTTTTATTTAAATATATATAGCGACTGAAGCATGCATTTTTAAAGATGCAAGGTTTTTAAAAAAAATTGCAACTCAACTTATTTGCATTTCATTAAAATTCAGTTTCAAAAATGCTCGTAAGAGTGCTTTGCGCTAATGCCTCATTTAAAAAAACTCGAGATTTCAAATTCTTTCCTTGTTTTCATTTACACTCCACTTGATCGTGCATGTTCCTCAGCCAAGCAATGGGGTAGGTGACACATATTCTCGGGTCTTTGTGAAAAGTTTTAATCAGCTATAAGAAGAGCTTGGGATATTTGTCCTTCTGATATTTCCCCCCCACACCCCCCCTGGGTTTCCTTATTAGTATTTATCAAATGTAAGGATTATTTATCTTATATGTTCATTGCACATTTCCAAATGTACCTTTTAGTTTTCAGTTTTGTGGTAGACTTGTGATGGGAAATAAGTACAGGCATCTTATGAAATATGAAAGAATTATTCCTGTTCCGGTTTCCTTAGACGACAGAATATGAATGACAGGAAAACATACCTGTGCCTTGAGCATGTTTACATAATGAACCAAAGTGGATGTTCGTATTTATGATGATAATGTAAACATAACTCTCAAGCCATTTATTTCAGTGCTTCATTAAATTTGATGAAACTTATCCCTTTAAAAAGTATAAGATCATCAAAATGCTAATACTGTGCATTTAATAGGGCTGCTTTGAGAGTGGAATTTACATTAAGGGCACATTTAATGTCAGGTTAATAATAAAAACCTGAATTGAGTTTTTGTTTTAATATCCACTGTATGCCTGTAAGCTAGGATCCTTTGATTTCTTTGATTCCTTTTATTGACTCTTGGCTGCTGATTCCCTGCATTTTTTTCCCCCATTAATTCTCATTCCATTGTCCACAAACGCCAACTTTGAAGGTTTGGCAGCTTTGTATTCGTTTGTATAACGTTTGCTGTGTTTCACACTTCTCCAACAAGATTGATACAATGGAAATCATGAGGCACCCGGAAGAAACGACAAACATGAAGAGACAAACTGTGGCCTCGTATTTCAGGGTACGGTATTCATTCATCTGTATGTTTGTACAAAAATGACAGAAATCTTAAGCTTGTGGGAAGGAAGCAGGTTGTACGTATGATCATGATATAGATTAATTACACACTTACATACTTTTGTTTTCTTTTCACCTAAGAAAAGCGTTTCAGACAGAAAACGTATGATATTGAATAGCTGTGAATCTAAAGTTTGAATCATGTCACTTGAACCCTTGTCCCCCATTTTTAACGCTTTATTTATATTAATGCCTCTGCCTCAATTTTCGCTGTATTTTTGCACAGTGAGTTGAAGAATGGAAGATTGCAACAACTGTAATATTACGATAATCCTTGTTTTGTTAAGGCACATGTTAATACGGCTCAAAGTACTTCACAGAGTTTTCTGTAAAGTGCAGTGACTGTGTATAAGTAAGTGAACTTCACAACCAAAGTCGGATGTGAAGGTCATAATAGATTTTGATTTTGCAGTTTGTATTTTCCCATTAAAATATGAGTGAACATTTCAGTAATAGAAACCCGAATTACAATCCCCAAATTAAAATTCCTCACCTCCGTTCGCTGCACACTTCCCAAATCACATTTTCAGGGCATTTATTTAACCGACTACTCACTCTGTTCTGGGCACTAATTCCTTGCGATATTCCAGTACCGAAAAGGTAAACTGTAAACTCGTATCCGTCTTCTTGTAACTGGGCATTTTGGAGGTGCTTAAAAGACTGACTTACACAAAACTTTTATTGAACAACTCAACAACAACAACAACAACAACAAGATTACATTTGTGTAGCTCTTCAAATATGTGCTTTAAAACTTTTGTACACCATGCAGGGATTTGTTTTAATATATAAAATTATAAAAACATATAAAATATATAAAATTGATTCTGAGGATTTTGAAACGTACAAATAACAGAAGTGTCAAGTCAACGTACGTTTTGATCAGCTACTTCCTGCCACCACATATTTTTAGGACAACGTTATTTTTCCCCTCTTTCCATCTGACAGTATTCCTTAATGGACCTGCTCTCCAAAATGGTGGTTGGACAGCCCCACTTTGTCCGTTGCATCAAACCCAATGATGACCGTCAGGCTCAGATGTTTTGCCAGGAAAGAGTACAGGTTCAGCTCCGCTACACTGGCATTTTGGAAACCATTCGTATCCGAGGACAGGGATATTCCCATCGCATCCTCTTTGAAGAGTTTGTTCAGAGGTAAGATACCTATCAACAGTGTGGCAGACACCCACGCATTCTAAAATGCCTTCATTTAAAATAATAATAATCCTTGCATTTCATAGAGCGCCTTATCACGTCTCCGAGATGTCTCAAAGCGCTTCACAGAATATACTGTAAAGTGAATTGACTTTTGTGAGCGAAACAAGGCAGCGAATTGCGCAGAGTGGTATCCCACAAACAGTCGTGGATTGAGTGACTAAATATTTTATTAAAAGGAATTATTACCCCCAGAAAGTTATCTGCTGATCAACTAACAACTGGGTTCCTACTTACTGCATTATTGGGGTGTTCTGAAATAGGAATTAGAAAGTTATTTTCCAATTGGCTGAACGATACCATGAAAAGAAGACTTGTAAGTGGCACAATGATACATTTGATGTGAACACTAACATTGCACTGTGCTGTGTTGGCAAACACCAAATGGGATGATTTCACCACCAGGAGGCAAAGAAATTCCAAATCCTCAAGCAACTCAAACCAAACTGATTAATGCCCAGCCTGGAGGGTCCCACGATATAATTTTTTTATTTAAAGAGGGACTTTAAACTCTGAGGAACCATGAGTTTCAGCCATTATTTCAGAGTCAAAGACTGTCATGACTCGATTTCACCGGCAGTGCTTGTGAATTGGGTCTTTCAAGCTTGTGAAAGCTTCAAGAAGTGCTATAACTAATTATCTCCATTGACATATCTTTTACATATCACAAACCTGTTTTGGTTTAACTGTGCCACAAATCACAGTGAAGAGTGGGGAGGTTTGGCGGAATTTGTTGCTAATTTCAAGTGACACCTCTGTATTTTATTTATCTTTTATTTTAAGCACAGCGCAGTGCTTTGACAGGACGCATTATTATCAAGGAATGAGCTTTATAGGAGTTCCAGGAAAATTAAAACTGGATACAAGAAAGTAACCTTTCTACCTCATGATAATACGCCAGTTACTAAGTAGATATCAAAAAAAATTAAATTCAGAGTCATAATAAATTGTGGTTATTTTCTTCCATAAGATTTAGCGACACTTTGATCTCCTGCATAGTTGGAAAAGCTTCTTTAATCCTGATGTTTTCATAGGTGTGTCTTATCTGTCTCCACAGTGGTTGTATTTTGTAAACTGCTAAGAGGGATATAAGAGGAGATGACAATAGGAGGAATTAAACAATGTAATTGGAGACTAGTGATAGCGGGAAAGAGTAAGATAATATCTTGTTTAATGTGCTGTCCACTATTTTCGTCTACCTGCATTTTGGATAAAATCGGCGAGTCGCAGGTCAGTAATTCCAGATGGATTTGCGAAAAGGATTACAAAGGATTAAGCAGGAGGTGGAAATGGGACATGTATAGGGAGTGTTTGTGTTTGAGTCACCAGTTGGATGATAAATGCCTGATTATGAAAAAGAAACGTTTGAAGTCTTAACTTCCTTCATAGAGCTTTGATGATTCAGGTGCCCATATAAACTGAAAAGGGAGGATATAATCAGATTCATCAGTACAGTGGCATCTTGTCATATAAGTAATCTGACATACAAAAAGGCTTATAACTAGATGTGTACAGAAGGAAAGACTACCCTGATAGGGCTCGCAAAATTCAGAACAAATTAGAAATTGGTTTGATTTGCTTACCTGATGGATTTAATACTGTTTTGATTAATTTAAGTGAATTGTCTGCTAAGCATAATGTCCGTGAAAACATTGGAGAGTAAAATACGTCTTCAAACACAAATGCAAGTGGCAAACAGTTCTTTATTTCAATGTTTAATGGATTTCTAACTAAGAGCATAATATACGCAGGCTTAAAATTCTGAATATGTATCTTTCGATGTCAATGTTGCCTTTCAAAATGTTAGTCTGGCTCTATTTCCTGTCGGATTTGTAAACTAAGATTCGGATTGACTTGAAGCTTTAAAAGTATCAAGATTGCAGATGATTCACATTTACATGTCACATTTTTTTAAAAAAAATATGAATTATTGCTGACCATTTACGATAACTTATTGCTTAATAACTTAATAACTTAATAACATAGTGCGTGAATGCTTACAATTGTATTTAATTCCAAATAAGAAGAGGTTAAAAACAGCAGGACTTTGGGTCAGTGAGCGAACACTGCCAGAGGTCATAAAATCATGTGCCGGTTCCATAGAGCAACGAACGCGTGGAGATAGTGTGACATTGTATGTTACAACTCTGTCTGTGTGGTGATGCTGTGTTCATGCTGTGTGACATTTAACAAGCACAGTGTGTTAGGTGATAATGTGCGGGTATGTGTGGTGTGCGTGTGTGTGGTTGGCGGTATTTACTGCTAACAGAAACAACTGAACAGGCAATATTATACCTTTTATTGCAAAACGTCTGCTGATTGGAAACCCGCTGTCCCAAACAAGGCAATAAGGTTGCCATAAGATGAGCTCGGTATAGAACTTTTATATCTCATTGGGGAAAAAAAAGAACTTAAATATCTTAGGATAACTTAATTTTAAAATTAGATTATTTCTTTGTACTTTAATATTTCAACATTAGTTAAATGGATTCACTGCTTAATACTGCAGTAAAATGATTGGTTTTCGGTTCTGCTGCTTGATAATCATAATAATAATCCTTGCATTTGATACAGTGTCTTATCACGTCTGCGAGACATCTCAAAGCGCTACGCAGGATATACTGTAAAGTGAATTGACCGTATATTTTGTGGGCGAAACTAGGGCTAATGCCACTAATTAATCACATTTGGGTGAATTTGCATTATATTTAGGTCAGGTGACAAAGTGCAAACCCTGAGGAGTATTTTACTCTGATCGGTTTCTGTTTGTGGCTGGGAATGTCGCAGTTAGATTAGTCCAGTGCACAAAGCTGACGTGCTCATCAACTAGGTTTAAACTAGAAAAGTGGTCCGCAATTGATTCCGACAAGTGATTGAATTAAAGCGAAACCCTCTGAATGATGAACTGACGCAGGACAACAATCACTGTCGATTTCTGGGGGGGGGGTGGGGGGAAACAGTTCGATCGTCCTGGAGCCAGTGGGGGTGGGGGGGGGGAGAAGTGAAGAGCAAATGAGGGTTTAGATAACTGAGAGATGTAAACAGTGAATCACTTCAAGCGAGCTGTGAGTTGGCAGGCTGCGGGATATTTACAGGTGCTCTTACCTCATTGGCATCGCACAGATTTCAGCTTGTTTCTTTTGTTTTGTTGGGTTTTTTTTAATTTTGCAGAACTGCCAGATTGTCAAAGTTGTTTTGTGCTTGCAGAAACAGGTGTACATAACTTCACAGGCGATTATTTTTATTTTAACCTTGGTGAAAGGGAATTTCCTGCATGAGCTAGTCTGTTTTTTTTCCCTGCTTTTATGTGGGCTTTGATCAATACCTAATAAGTTTGGAGTTGTTTGGGTTCAGTTGATATTGCACAATGCTGCAAGTTGTGCTCTGATTCACAAAGAATACTTATAATAGTCTTTTTTTTCTCTACTTTCATCTTTTTTCATGTTTTGGTGTCTATATTCATTCTGCATTTTGTTTTACTTCAAACAAGACGCTGATTTTAACAATCTTCGAAAAATACCCACATGTGGCCTCGGAAAAGCTTGACATGTTAAATCATTTGCAGACTATCGATGGATACACAGGAGGAAGCAGAGGGTAGTCGTGAGGGGCTTGAGCGTGAAATAGTGTGGGTGGGGGGGGGGGGGGGGGGGGGGGGGGTGGGGGCTGGAGATAAGATATTGAGTTAATCGCTTTCCTGTTCAATGTGTACGTAAATGACCCGAGGCAGCTAAATTTCCCAGATAACACCAAGCTGGAAGGTGGACCATGAAATCAGAGGAGGGAGCCTGACAAAGAGAACTTGACAAAGTGAGCACCTGGGCTAATCATTGGCAAATGCGGTTCCAGGCGCTTTATACGGGAGGTAAAATAAGAAGCACGCAGTCCATGGAGAGGGAAAAAATATTGACGAGGAGGAGGAAAAGAGATCTGGGGGGATGATAGTTGACACATTGCTCACAATTTCCAAACAGTGTGAAGCAACAATAAACCAAGCAAACAGCGTGCTGATCTGCATTGCCTAATCAACAAAGTTTATGTTATGCTCAGGTTGTATAACGCTGCTGTTAGGCGCCTATGGAGTATTGTATAGAGTTCCAGTCGGAACTACAAGTACAGAGAACAACGAGACTGATGCCCAATGTTAGATAAACAATAAGGAACAAATAAGCTGGGCAGGGCTGCTTCAGACTTGAAAGGAAATGACTCAAAAGAGACCTTTAAAAGGTCATTTAAAACTGAATTAAATACTTGAATAATGAAGATATATCGAAGCATATTCAGGAAATCAAGTCAATATGAATAGAGCACATAGCCATACGGAATTTGAGATTGTTCATTTAAAGCAGAGCTCACTGTAAGTGCAGAGAAACTTGAAGTCGAGCCCTCTTGCATCCAGATCTTAGTCGCTTAGCTTCTACAGAAGATTTCTTTTTGGATGCTCGCTAACATTCCTGGTAATTAAATGTTGAAGAGTTTGAATCAGCGTATGCAAACTGGTTAATCGTTTATGCTCAAGAGATTTGAGTGTCAGCCATTCACAAATAGGGATAATGTTAGAGTCCTTCCCACACAAAACTTAGGTTTTATTATCTTCTCACCAGCGTAATTGGTTTTATTTTAATTATACAATTATCGCATAATCCAGTTGCAAGAGAAATTCATAAATTATTAAATCATTTAATCCTGTTTCTAATCTTTTCCCATGTCAAAATAAGGCAACAACTTTCCATGTCTAGTGACGGCCTCTTGGTAAGAAAAATATATTCTTCTGAAAGTAGTTAATTTAGGTAAAATCCAGATGAGAAATGCAGTACAATATACAAGCGTGGCATATCAGTAATGTGGATTCTCTCAGCCCTTTGAGCAGTGGAATGGAAATCCAATACAACGTCTACATTTTATAGCATTTGCAAACACTGTGTTTTAGAAAATAAAATAAGTCGTATTCAGCAGTAGCTCTAGTAATGCTGGTTTTATAATCAAGCAGTAATGTCTGTGAATGGTTAATTTTATTGGGTGCACAGTAGCTTGGAAGAAGCTGATAAATGGAATATCTCTTTATTTGGAGGTGAAACATGAGCAGTAGAGTTATACAGTTAATGTTACCAGCTAATCACACTAATCATAAATGACTTTGAAGAGTGTACTTGTATTTTATCATATTATATTTGGAGTGAACCCAGAGAACAGCAAACCCACCATGTTCATACGGTGAATTGTCCTGCTGGAACTATCTCCTTTAGAGATAGTTAGAGGCTCCTGTGCAATTCCTGCTGCCCCTGTACTCATTTTATAGTGCGTTTCCGGCAGCAGCTCATCCCCACAATCATAGTGAATCAGGTGTGGATCCCTGACTAACGTGCTATACAAATGTAAATTGTTGTTGTTGATTTGCCACCAAACATACAGTATAAACACAGCAAGAAACACATACAAGAAGTCTTATGATCTCTTCCTTCCCATGGCTTTTGTCTCTTGATAACATGCAACAAACTCATGACTCCGTAACACACACAGATCCCTTTTCCTGCATGAACTTGTTCACTCAAGTTCAAGAGTAAAGCAATGTGAAACCACATCGGGGAGACTTGGCAACCAGAATCTCATTTCCTCAAGTTAGCTGGCCTTTTTATAATAAAATGGCATATCATTTTCAAAAAGGGTTTCTGTTTGAAGATCTATCCCTCCTCTGATTTACTGGGTTTTCCTGAATGGCAAAGAAAGTTTTGTGTTTTAACATCGTCTGATCAGAAGATTAGATTGCTTGTGTATCTCAGCGTAAATCGTACCTATTCATTGTTAGTGGCTATTCAATTTGAAAATTGATGTAATTTTCACTGTAAAATGAATGCCACACTCGAGGCTGATACATTACATTGATTCACAAATCTTGACTTGTGACTGAGTACTGTATAAGCATTTTAGCTGGAAGAAAATAGAGATTCAGTGAAAAGAGAAACCATAGAAACCGTGCCAGGCAATATTAAAATGTTTATTTCCAATTAATATTGTATTTAACCGCTTGGTTAAAGTGGGAAGGAGTTCCCCCTTGACTTTACTTGTTAAGGAATCTCATTAGAAGTCACAGCATGTTAGACCTGGTTGTTTAGACCCATGTTCAGGTCTTGCTTGAGTGATATTACAATAATAAATCTGTGTAGCTTTGTGTCCATGTATGTTCGAGGCTTGTAATTCACAGCTGAAAGGGCATTAACAACAACAACAACTTGCATTTATATAGCACCCTTCGTGCTGGGTTGCGTCACAGAGCTTATTAAACAGGGGATATGAGTTTTTCCTTGGATTTGCCAAAAGCCTAAGAGATGGGACTGAATATTATCACCAACAAAGTATCTGTTGTTGTTGGCAAGTAGAACTGTTGCCCATTGTTCCTTCACTGAGGAAGTTGAATTTATTTTCTTAGCGAAATTCATAATACTTTATTGATGGTATAAAATTGCTTCATGTTTAGAATCGATGATTATAACATTTAGATGCTCATGCTAGTAATCCACGTTTTTTCTCACCTTATGGCTACGTAATGTTCCCTGCACGCATAATTACTCCAAGAGAGCGCAGTGCATTCGAACTTTGTACTGAAAGGCTGGGAATGCATTAAAAATATCAGCAACCCTTGGGGTAATTTCTGCATATGCTTTAAAATATTTTGACTACTTGTAGAACTGTCTTGTTATTTAATATTGCCCTCTTTGTTAACATTAACCTACAGTCCATGTTGTGTTCATTTATGCTTTGTTCTCTTGTTTGATAGGTACTACTACCTTGCCTTTAGGGCACATGAGACTCCTTCTGCTACTCGTGAAAGCTGTATTGCTATTTTACAAAAGCAAGATTAGACAAGTGGGTGCTTGGAAAAACGAAGGTAACAGTAGTCTGTGGAATTTTTAAAGAGCTCTGATCTATCTGTGATTTTCTTAATGATAAGAATCCTTATTGTCCACCCCTCCTGATCCCAAACCCCTGCTCAGGTCCACATTCTTGATTGTCCAGCGCCTTCGGATGTGCTCCCGACGTGAAAAGCGTTATACAAATGTAATTTATTGTTGTACAACATGTCAACGTAGCAGGACTCCTGACTGCTCTGGAAAATCAATACCATGAATAATTTGGGGGCGGAAGTGCTTTGGCAGTTTTGCTTCCATCGGTTGCAGATGTTACTTTCTCTTCAGTTGCTGTATTATACGTCTCAATCCTTTGGACTCTGGGGATGTCCATAATATTTCCTATCCGGCACAGCTGGTCTTTGTAAAGGTTTCATTGCACCTGTATTAGGCCATCTGTATCAGCTCAGTAACCTGCAGATGTTTGCAAAGGTCTGACCGACATGAGGATGTGTATCTATCCTCTGGGGAGAGAGAAAGATAAGTGGGTCTCCTCGGAGCTTCGAAGAGCTCAGTAGGAACTGGCTCCAAAGTGGGAATCGAGTCAACGATTCTTGGCCTCAGTTGTCCAGTTCCTTAGCCACGCAGGTCCAGGGCATTTTGGTGACCTGTCACTGGGAGCAAGGATTCTTCCCACTCAATCCTGAGATAGATTTCGACAGACAATTGCAATTTAATTTCAAACAATAAATATGTTTCCTTGCAGACCAGTAAAACAGGATGATCACAGATCTAATTACAATTAGATTAGTCCCTAGATATGTACCTAGATATGTGTTACAAAGTTATTTCGTTTATCGGGGTAAGGGTTAACACAAATGCAAAGATTTAAGCACAAATCAACTCCCAACACCCACTCATATTGCCAATGTCATTTCCCTTTATAATTGAGTATGTTGCGTCATCCTTCCAGTTTACTTTGCACAATAATTGAAAACAAACGTATATGTTTTATCTCCAAACTTTCATTCCATTATTCATTTGAGCTGTTTCACCAATCTGTAGCTTAATGATTGGAATGAAGAATCATTCTGCTTTACATGTGTACAAACGCTTTTATGTCATTGTCTACAGCTACATCTTTATTCATATTGAACAAGCCCTCAGGGCTTCAGGCTCTGGTTTGATATAAGATGCAAGAAAGTGATTCAGAGTTCCTGAAACAAGTGTCTCGGAATTAGTTTGCATTATTTGCTAACATTTGTCAGCAAACATTTAGGCCATTTTATATAGTACGTTTTTGGGTGGGGTCAGCCAGGTGTCTGACCCATGCGGAAACCTATCACCATGCTTAAGAGTAAAGTAAAAGGTTCTGTGGTATCATTTATTTATCAATCCTTCCTCACTAACCCAAGAGTGCACATATCTGCCCTTCCATTTAATGTGGTCAACCCAGTGTAATGTTGATTTATAAAATATGTTCTTCCATGTTCTAATGATTTGTTTCCTGTAGGTGTTCCTCAAGTATTACCAAGTCGAACAATTAAATCTACTGCTTAGAGAAGTCATTGGCAGAGTTGTGGTCCTACAAGCCTACACCAAAGGTTGGCTCGGAGCCAGGAGATACAAGAAAGCACGGGCAAGAAGACGAAAGAGTGCTGTTGTCATACAGTCAGGTCAGCTTGGCAATGTTTAACCAACTACCATCCGAATACAGAGCTTTCTAAGGGATTTTGATAATTATTAGAATTTTCCATTATCTGGAGAAACATAGTAAGTTTAGATTTACAATGCTTATAGACATCGGAAATAATTGGGACCAGACCTACGAAAGTGGTATAGATATTTGTGTGTGTGTATCTCTCTCTCTCTCACTCGTACTTACTTGGATCATATCTTTTCACCTCATTACATCTGGATGTTTTACTGAGATCCTAGTCACATTGAGCCATCACTCACATGCAAACAGTTAAAAAAATTGAAACCTTGTTATAATCACACGTTTGTTCAGCTAAAATGTTTTGCTAAAATTGCAGCCCAACTTCACTTCTGCATCTGAGCTCTGGTGTGGCTAAGAAGCATTATACTGGCCTCATTATGAGCTATGGTTATATTGATGAACTGAGTTTGAATCAGATCCATAACCTGCTCCAATCTGATATTCCGTGTACAAGACAATTCATTCGAAAGGTAGACGTTGAATCTGTGCTGATGCAAACCCAATGGGATTGGTTGACTTTAACATTGGTTAGGAATCAGCCAACAACAACAACAACAACAGCGCTTCACAGTAACGGATCCCGGGGCCGAGCCGGGGGGAGGGGGAGGAAGGTGACCAAAGGCGCAGTCGAAAAGAAACCTGGCAGAAATCATATAACCTGGCAGCCAACTCTGCCCTATTCATTGACTCTGTTCTGCTGTATCCCTCCTCTGTATCACAAGCAACAACTGTTGCCTTCTGCTATCTATTTTACTCCCACTTACGTTTTTTTTTAAAAAAATAACCAGCAGTATTCACTGGTAAAGCTCACGTGTGAATATTATCCATTTGGGCAAGCAGAGGCTAACCACAGGCAATGGAAATCTAGCTCAGGATAAATGGAAAAAACTGAGTTGCCAATTTTCTCCCATTTAAAAGGTTAAAAGATGTGGGATTTTCTCCCCAACAGTCAAGGGTAAGGGAAGTGAAATGTACAGATCGCATCACGAAACCACCCTTCCTATGCACTCAGCTCAGATTTCAACTCTGGTTCTCAATATAACAGAGACTATAGTAGTAATTTTTCCGTGAACAGCTTTGTGTTTGTTATACTGAATCCGTGAACTTTTTACATTTCACTCCACGAGCTTAGAGCATGAATCATAGCTTGCTAGGAATTAGTTACTACATTACTGTGCTTTGTGCCTGGGTGCAAACAGAATAGATCAAAAGACTTAACTGATATAACACCAGGAACCTTTTTCCTACTGTGTTTAGAGTCTTATATTAATTTTATATTCCTACGTGAACCACAATTATTGCTTATAATATCAATAATTCAAATGCAGAAATGCCAAATTAAATATTTCCTGATTGCTTTACTTCCTTTCCCACCATCAAATGTGATAGTTTAACAGCAGCGAGGGTAGTTTGTTGACTCCAGTTGAGTTAACTGCAGAGTGACCCTTTTACATCATGATACGGTGCACATTGAAATGGCCGCTGACACTCATTTAATTTGAGATGGACCTCATTTGATCAGCGGGCAATGTCCTGTGACGTATTGCCGATGTGACTTTGACAGTTGCATTCAAATCGTTGAGTGTTTTTCCTTCCTCCAAAATTCAGAGCAGATCAATTAATTTGCAAGCACGAACCTTGCATTGATGCAGCACCTTCTGTCTGGTTCATTCAGTGACGTTGCTCTGTTTGGGGGAAGCAGGAACATCCAGTATTATTTTGCCCCCAGATTATTCCCACTTATGAAACACACAGCCATCGCCAGCTGGGGTTTGTCCATGAATTTCACCACAAACCGAATCATATCCATTGCACGATCAGTTAGTAGTAGCTGCTAATCAAGGGAGAGTGAGTCAGTCTGTGTCAGAACACTTTGACTTCAGTCTAGTATAATGCTACTGGCAGGTGTTGGAACTTATCCAAATTGATCGAGGAACATGCACAAACCTGAGATCTCAAGATTATTAATCATGACCTTTTCCCGAGAGTTGAGCTTATCAATATTTTGAGTTCCATTGCTTTACTCAACATTTAATTTTAAATACACATAAATGCTTGCACTTACAAGAGAAGGTGTTGTGCATCATCTTTTGCTTGTGTTTAATGTCAAAAAGGAAAATAGTGTTTCTTAATGAGACCAAACTATACTGTCTACTGATTCATTGCCTCACATCTGGTCCTGTCCATAATCTGTGACTGCTCTAGCCTATTAGTTTACCCAGAAAAACACCAATGCATTCCCTCTCCAATGCCCTTGATGTATCCTCTGAGTCAGCTGCCACTTTCATCTCAGTGAAGGCGCTACCAGTTGCAAACAAAAGTAACAGACCCACGGCCTCTGCTCAACTGGCTCCTGCATGTCCCACTTGACCACCATTCCACCATCTATGGCTGTGCTTTCAGCCACTGCGCCCCGAAACTCTAGAACACTCTTGCCCCAATCCCTCCACCTTGCCCCCACCCCTCCTTCCCCTTCTTCAGTTTGTGCCTGAAGACCTTCCTCTTCGACCATACCTGATATCCCCCCCCAGCTCGACATCGTGCTCCTGCACCTTCAAGAGCTCTTGGACGCTACCCTGTGTGAGGGGCGCTGTGTAAATGCAAGTTGTTGTTGGTCCTGTAATAATATTCATCATTATGCACCTCCGCCCACTCTCCATCCAAGTAAAGTCACTGATTCAAAATCTTAAAAAGTCATCAGCTGCTCCACACAGTCACCGCTCTGATCCATGATATTTCCATGTCCTGACCCAAATATCTTTTTAACCTGAAAGTCGGTCATGGAGAATTAATTCCCTTGCCTTAGCTCTAATCTTGCATATGTGCCAGATGGCACTATGTCGACCTTGGGAAGATCAGAATCAAGAGAACCTGCCAATTTTTTAGACTTACCCAACTGAATCTGACATACCTTGGCTAGTCTCAGGTCAAAACAGTACCGTAGAATGAACACCAGCCAGAAGGCTATCACATTTCTAAAGTTAAGAATCTGATTTTCTGCCAATTATAAATAACTGGTGTTCTTGTGATCAAATAATATCTTGTGCTGTACTGGGCAGAGGCTTTTCACTTCAGATATATAGTGCTCACAGAGAGAAGCAATGTGCCTAATCTGGCGTGCATTGCTATTGTGTTACTAGGGTATTATTAAATGTGATGATTAAATGCTTTGTATCCAACACAAATAAGAGGAGGCAAGTACCAGCTGGTTCCATGACTAGAAATGAAGGTAAAGTTGAAGATGTTTTCATCTTCAAGTGAAGAGAAAGGGTTTAGATTTAGTTTGACCTGTTTTATCAGTTTTGCAAATTATCTCTATGGATTGAACCCCTGGAAGGGTTTCCCTAGAATGTCTGCGTTTTTGTGATTGGCCATATCTTAGTGTATGTGAATAACAATAGGGATCAAAAAAAAATCTGTCCTTATTTGATAGTATACACTGATAGATTTGTCTCCTACTCCAGAATTTAATCCCTTTGTTTTTGCAATTCCAAACAACAGCACTCCTCATTTTCTCTGGTTTGCAATTGACAGTAAAGCCTTCACTGGTCTATCTGATAGCCAGCTGGAGAACATATATGTCTCCTTTGGAAATTGGTCAGTTGTTTGATGCAGTAAAGCTTCTGACCAATTTCTCCACTGTTGTCTTTGATGCTGGGATGATGAGATCATCTCGACTTGCTAATTCAGAGCAAAAGCGGTCTCCATAGCTTAGGGATCAAACTAAGTATTTGTTTTCATTCCAAGAAAGCTTCACACACTGTAGAATTGAGGTTCACACACATATTGAGGCAACATTTGGAGCCCCATTCAGCTAACTTGGACTTGTTACAGGTTCCCACCACTTCAGCCATCATCAATGGCTATGCTTTCAGCTACCATGGTCCTAACTTCTGAAACTCTCTCCCTCTACCTCCCTCTCTATCTGTCTTCAAATCCAACCTTAAAAAAACACCTCTTTGACAAACCCAACTCTCACTTCCCCCCCTCTCTCTCCACTCCCTTACTCAGCATCCAACCCCGTCTTTGTGAAGCACTCCGAGAAAGATAGAGAACTATATAAATGCTTGTTACAGTTCATCTTTTTGCCTCTGAGTTAGGAGGAAAAAATCTGCTGGTAATCAGAGCAAAGAGAAATAAAAAACAATAAAGTCATGAGATTGCACAGGTGGTTTTTTTATTGCAGAGCTGAATAATCTATTTATTTAGCTTGTTTATGATTTGTACCCTCACTTTTATGATGTGTTTCTTTTCTTCATTGTATGATTTACTGGATGTTTTGTTTCTTGAAGGTGGTTTATTAAACCTTACAGGTTGTGACATTAAAACTACATGTGTAATCGTAAAGAGGGAAGTTATGGGTTTCTCATATTTCAATTGTTATGCAGGGCATCAATAAAAAAAATAATTTAAAAAGAACAGAATATTCTTTTACGGTGTTTAGTCATTAAAAACAGATTTAGAAAATTGAACTTCCTTCTTAAGTATTTAAACAATTATGAAAATAATTTCTATATCTTTACATATGTGAACCGTTAGAGAATAATAATAATAAAAATAATGTTAATGAAAAACATTTTGAGACATCTCGAAGACACGATAAGGTGCCATAGCAAATGCAAGTATTATTATTATTATGTATATACAATATTTAAATGAATGTAAAAAAAATTGCTATTTTATTTCATCCAAAAAGTCTTTGTAGAAAATGTACATTTGGCATTGATATAAATCCTGGCATAAAACATTTCTGATTTTATGCTTTATAAAAAATAAAGCTACAAACACACAATCAAAGGAAAACGTCTCTTTAAGAACTATGGAACATATGAAATGTATTCATTCTAATCCCTTGCTCATGAGTCACTTTTTTTTATTAGCCTGGAGAGGATATGCTGTTTATAGAAGCTTCAAGCAAATGAAAGAACAGAGAGAGGAAGCTGCTGTTTGTATACAAGCAGGTAATGCAAAGCAACTCATGTGTTTCTTAATATTATCATATCAATGTACACTTCTGAATAAGATTGATTCAGGTCGGGTCTGTACCTTGGAAACGATTCATGCAGCAGCCCCACAATTAACATACGCTCTTTTCATCTTTATTTTTAGAACAAAGGTATCGTTTTTCCATTCTTGCAAGTAATAATCCTCTTTACTATGGGCCTCATTCATTTCAATATACTTTCTGCAATCTCTCATATTACAAGAATATTGTCTTATTCTGCCTCTTTGGCAGTTTAGAGTCCAATATACAATATATAATACAGGATTACGCTTAAAAAAGGAACTGGATTGGTTAGATTTGTATTTGTGGTAATTTTGCGTGATGTGAACATATATGTTTGACATGATGTAAGCAAATTGTATGATTGGGAAATAATTAATTTACAGCTAGCGATTCCCCTCATTAAAATCCCTTAATGGATATTATTATTTAATTGCAATGTAAAGGCTGGGCCTCAGAAAGTCCAGCAGCATTTATCTCATGTGCTTGTGTGAAATACTACACGTTGAAATCTAACTTCCTTTTATCTTCCTCACCATAAATCAGCAGCAGTGCTTATCCTTTTTACTTCCTCACAACTTCCTCTCGGTTCCCGGTCTGTTACAGCACACTCGTATACCAGAAACAAGATGCCTTTTCAAGCTGTCAACCTTTTTTTTTCATCTGAAATGTAAATTAATTCTTTCTGGTATGCCTCAACACAGATCAAAGTGGGGGGTTATTAGCCTTGGTGGGTTTTTCTTTCATCCAAACCAACGCCAAATACTGCGAGGTTGGAGTAAGAAGGCCACTCTGAACTGAACTGTCGCTGAGGTCTGTCTACAGGAACAAATATTTCAAAGGCAATTCATTATTTTTTTGTCAATGTCCTTACCACGAGTCCAAATAGTGTGCAAAAGATTAGACTGTGATCTCTTTACCCTGCCTATTTTGATTTGGATGTGACTTTAGTCAGTTGACACACAGGATGCTTTTTAGTGAATCTGACAGCAGATGAGCACAGGTGGAGAGAACAGGGAGAAGTATTTCCTCCTGGAAAACTCTCGACCTGCTCATTTTCTTTTCATTTGTTACGGCTGAGGTTTTGAGGTAGACCACATTAGCATTTTGAAAATAAACATGTTTCTTTCAAGTAGAGAAGCTGGTGGCCTTAAAGGTCTCAGTTGGCCCAGTGTACTCCCTATCCATTAATCCATCAAAACCGAATACATATATAATGATATTGTTATTGCCAGAATGCTTATTTGTGCACATATATTAGTCCTGTGCTGTGCAGTCTGACCAGAGCAGCAACAAATGATATTTGTATAGCGCCTTTCAAGTTGGGAGGATGTCGCAAAGTGCAGTAGAAGGAATGAACTAGTCCACAGTTCCTACACTCGGATCCCAAAAGAGATCCCAGTTTACTTCTCTGGAGAGCCCTGACCTTAAGTGAATACAGTCACTGCTGTGCTTCATTAGTTCATACTCTGGACAGCATTATATTGCTAGTCAACACATGTGCAGAGATTACTTTTGTGTGTGCCAGTGGAAAATAACAGGACATTGTTATTTAGTACTTAGACAGGCTTTACTGAACCTTTCACTGCACAGCTTTTTGTTTCCACTTCCCAAATAGATAATTATTTGGGGAGGACAAGTTTGCAGGGCTATGGCGAGAGCGCGGGGGAGTGGGATTAATTTGAATAGCTCTTTCGAAGAGCCGGCAAAGACACGATGAGCCGAATGGCCTCCTTATGTTCAGGTCAGAACAAATCATAGAATTGTACATGATTCTGTGATTTGTTCTGATCTGCAATTGGAGTTTTTTTCAAAAAAAAGTGTATGAATATTTACTATAAATCATCTGCAAATTCACAAGTATAAATGATCAATTTACTGTAAATGGACGTAAAATATAACTTGTAAGGCTGACATTGCTTTTGATTCATTAACCTCCACATCGAAACTTCACATTGCCCGACCACCATATTTTCCTGAGTGTGTGCTATATTCTGTGAAGCGCTTTGAGACGTCTCAACAACATGATAAGGCACTATATCAAACGCAACGATTATTATTACCATCAGGGGCTCACTTTCCCCCAGTGGCGTAACTAAGTTTTACTAGATAGGATTTAACATTAGGTTCTTTTGAAAAAAAATATCCTTTTCAATCTGGAGAAGGGAAGACAGGGGTATGGGGAGAGGTTATTTGGAGGGGTGGAAGCTCATGTGGTGTATAAATACTAGCTACATTAGTTAGGCTGAACTTGGCCTGTTTCCATGCTATAATGTGCTGTATCTCCTTGACCTCTACCCCTCCTGATTCCCAACCCCCAGCTCAGGTCCAAATCCCTGACTGTCCAGATCCTTAGAACGTCCTCGCGATGTGAAAGGCGCTGTGTAAATGTAATTTGAATGTTGTTGTTGTTGTGCTCTGTGTAAATCTATAGAGTTCTATGTAATTACTCCATTTTTTTTCCCACTCGTTTAATAACAATGACGGGTTCTCAGATATTTCGTATTTCTCCACTCAAAGAATTCTTGTATTATTTTCATGGGAACTATGAGTAGATGATGTAATTCCTGTGGACTCCCCTGGCTCCCCCTCACAGCACAGGAAGCATTGGGTCCCACGGAGCCGTTGTGCACTTCTGCCTGCACGGAGCTATATAGCTTGTCAATACTATTCTGAAACATATATTTATCCAGTCACTTTTTTTTAAAAAAGAGTTAATCGTTGCAAGATTAGCTGCTCTTATTGGAAGAAACAAATCCACTACTTTGGGATTGGGGGGAGGAGGGAGAGGAGGAAATGTTTTTAATTTCATATAGTAAAACTACCAAAACAGAGAAGAAAATTCTACTTCATTAAATTCCGTACTGCTATTTTGCAAATATTTCAATGAGTCTTTCCTTTGAACTACTGTTACTGTTTAAAATAATATTGTGTAAGCTCTTTGTGTCTCACTTTTATTCAAAGAAGATTGTTTGCTATTTATTGTAACTTCTGTTACCGCTTTGAGGAGCTTTACAAGCAACAATAAAATATGCAAAGGTTTAGCTATGTTCAGTCATTTGTTTTTGAAGATTTGGGCGAATTTGATTTAAGGATAGTGAACAAAGTGTTTGCTTAAATCAAAAAAACGTTCCAGTTTTATGACTATCATAAATAAACATGCATTAAAACCTTGCGTTTTTAAACTTGTGTTCCAAACCCTCATTACAGTTTCGAAATAAAGAGAAAATTGGCTTTTAATATTCCTTTTCAAGATTGAAATCTGCCATATAAAGAACAGCTTGTTCTGGAAGTTCTCTCATGTTTGTGTGAAACTCATTTCTAACATTTTCATATTTAGTGTGTACTTTACTATTACAATATTAAGAACACTATTTCAATGAGTGAATAGTCAACCTGTGGAACAGACTCCCTGAGGAGACAGTTGAAGCAGGAAGTATTAATTCTTTCAAACACGGATTAGATTGGTGTTTTTTTAGGAAATAACATTATGGGGTACAGTACATAGGTAGTTTGGGACATTTGTGCACGTGACTGCCAGGAAGGCGGAAGGCGAACTAGATGGACCTTGATCTTTTCTCATCTAGCATTTCTTATACAATATCAAAGAATGATATTCGTATTGGTGATACAAACACTCCAGTGGAACTACTGTAGAGTTCACGTCAGGGTTTGTGTTTATATTACTGTACTCTAGATACCTGTACGTTGGAGTCCTTGTATAGTTCGCAAATTTCCAATCACTAAAAAAGAACAGGAAAAAAGAATGGAATATTTTCACTGTGGTCAAATGTTTGCGGGCTCACTATTTCAGCTACTTGAGTTTATGAACGATATAATCTACGTCAGAATTAAAATCGATGCTCAAAGTATCGTTTGTTACTGGAGATGTGAAAGGAATTGTTTGCATTATACTGTAATCAATAACGCTTGCCTTTCTGAGCATATGCTCACACAATATGTGCTGTCATTATGTTTTACACATGATCTTTTACAGGTATCCGGGGATATCTGGGTCGAAAAGAATATAAAAAAATTAAAGAAAGCAATGTGTTGGCAACAGTCAGTGAGGATCAGAGCACAGACCATCAGCAGAGAACAAGGTGAATTATAATGATGGCAACACCAACCATTAACATGGTGGAAATTACAGTACTATGTGCAACATTAGTATATAATAATAGTCATTCTTACATTTGATACTGTGTCTTTCACATCGGTGGGACATCTTAAAGTGCTTCGCAGGATATACTGTACATTTTAATTGTAGTCATAGTGTTTTACGAATTAGTTTAGGATATTGCCTTATTTTATGGGAAATGAATTGCATGAAATTACTGAGCTGGGACGTTCCAATGAAAGCAGGGATTGTAACCAGCAAATAATGTGCAGTTTTTAGTGGGATATGATAGTTAGTGAGTAAAAATTTTTTTAAAAAAATACCGTTCAAATCCTCTCATCAATCTTAAAATGAACTGTTTTCTCATCACTGTATATTAACAAATCACCAAACTCAATGTTTGTAAGGTATTGCTGGTGAGTATACCCCCCCACCTCCACCAAAGTGTTCTTATAACTGAATGCAGTTATACAAGTCAGTTTGATGTACATGAACGTCACTGCATATGTGAGCTTTTGATGTAAACCAAACAGTATCGATGATCCTTTTTATTCTTGATGAAAAAGCATCAGCAAAGCCTTTCTAGCTGAAATTCTGCCTGCATAATGGTCATTTATTGATCAATGTGGCGTTAGGTGTTCTTTTCTGCTACATGTACATAAACCCTTTTATGTTTTTTTTGTGTTATTTCTTGGGATATTATCCGATCCTATAAATTTATGTTTTTTGATTTTTTTGTAGCCACGTCAGTTATAACAGGACACACGACACAGATATTGTTTGGCAGAATGGACAAGATAAAGAGGTAAAAATCCTGTTTTCTAACGTAATTGTGCACGCACTAATTTCAAAACCTAAGTGCGTAGGTTCGAGATGTAGTCAGAGCAGCTTTGCTGAGCTATCTTAACATGAAACCACTACAACAATGTTTGAAGTCTGTGAGACAAAAGGCTGCTTGCAAAGAACTTTGGTTCTGTAGAGAGACAGGGTGGTACAGTGAATAAGAGAATCAAAAGGCTGGAAATTTGCTGCTGTGAATAAATGCCAGCATTTCCCTGAGGTGATTTGTCTTGCGCTTTACATTCTACAGATGTTAAAGCCGTTTTCTCTGTAAAGACCTGAGGTTCTTTGGTAGCACTTTGATATCCTGCTTGAATTCAATATGTGAAATGGAAGAGTCACTCTGTGACTTGGAGCCCAGCGTGGTCTTTGATGTATGATCCAGTTTTTGCTGCTCACCACTTGATGTTGAAAGGATGAAATGAAAATGTACAGATTTGCCAGTAACTCTGCTAAGCATATGTAAGATTAAAAGGTAAAACCCTTTGGAGGATGTAGTTAGAAATGTTAAGCAGATTAATACTTTCCTATTGTTCTTTTATTTAAAAATTATAGATTAAATCTGAAGGAAGTCAATGTGGTTGAGCCCTGAGTTTTGAATTAATATGTTAGGGTTAAGAATAACCTGTTTGGTACACTTCTGCATTATCTAAGAGACACTATGATATTATATATAATATCTTTGCTGGCATAGTAATAGGAGCTGTATCTACTTCTCTAATTCTAGGGTTAAAATTAAATTTTTATTTCTAAAAACTAATTACAAATCAATTCCAAAATTAGAATTAACCTCCTTTGATAACCGTTTGGTTGGTTTAGCTCCCATCATGTACCTAATGCATTAATAATAATAATACTTGCATTTGATATAGTGCCTTATCACGTCTTCGAGAAGTCTTAAAGCGCTTCACGGAATATACTGTAAAATGAACTGACTGTATATTTTGTGGGCGAAACCCAAAATCTGGTATGTGTGATGCCCAGAGTTCTATTTAAATTCTGAGTCGGGGAGCTTTCTGTCATTAAAAAAAAGGATAGTTGGATGTAGGACTTCAAGATGGACATTTTTTTTGGTACATTGACCTATTGTGTATCCCTGAGTATTTTAAAACAAGACTAAGAAATTCAGAGTCAGAATATGGTTGTTTAGTCTGATGTCGTGCTTCAACTTATATTTGTTCGTAAAGGTTTCCAATGACATTTCAACAAAGCCGCTTCCTCCAAACGATGACTGCAGCAGTGAAGTGTGGACTCCAAAATTGAAAGGTAAGGGAAGATTTTCAGCGAAGAGAGAGGGAGTAAAATGTTCTACTTACATTACACATAGACGGATTGATGTGAAATGCACAGCATGTGTATGCATGTGCACAAGCCTTTGTTTTGCCCCAATGCAATCAATGTCTTCCTCAATATGTAAACATGTTCACACGAGACAAGGCGATGTGTACGTAGCTTAGTCACAAGTTTGTTCTTGGTGCACGAGGGTGATTGGTGTTGGAAATCTGCCAATTAGCCTATTTTCCTGTTTTTTGCCCCCAAATCTTCCAGAGTTCTACCTGGATTTTGACCCTTCTAAACCTGAAGTTTAATCATCAAATGTTATTTATTGGGTTGTAGAACTTTGCGGAAAAATACTGTGGTGACCAGTTACCATTTAAACTGACATACATCTTAATAATCTTGCATTTCATTTTTGTTACCTTATTTAATGTGTAGAAAATTTGTTTATACGGTGTTAATTTAAATGTCGTACATTTTCGAAACCAGACAACGCCTTTCATTTTCACTTGTAAATCTATTTGGGTAAGAATAATTGTTATTACCTCAGTTTACTTTCTGATGAAATTAATTCCCAATCCTGCCGTTGGTAATGCATACAAAGTTAGTGGGTTGTAGATTTTTTTTTATTTGGTACTTTGTGTCGCTGCAAAATTTGTTTTTAAGATAGAAACAAGCACACTGTTTAACTTAAATTGGATATGTTTAAACCAATTCATTTACAGGTTGATTCAGATGCGTCTCCATATAGCTCACAACTGTTAAAGGTTGCCTCATTTCTTTTCCTGTCCAGACCTGCATAACTTATTAAGGCTTCTTTCCATTGCAGCTCGGCTTTTGATCTGCTCTGCTTTCTTTATTCATGTGCGTATAATCCTCCACATTGTGAATTGAAGTATATTTAAAACAGATCCATTTGCAATTGTTTTTGTCCCAACACAATACAAGTAAAACTGAAACCAATTGAAGTTAATTAGACTGAGATTTAAAACAATGGATTGCCGAGTATACCAGATCTCTTTAGTAGCTGTTCAAATGTATATAGATAGGTTTGTTTTTAACCAGAGTTATATGTGAATTTTAGTTACAAGCACACAGCAGCTAATCCTTACGAGGGTTCAAAAACTTACGGGAAACTTCCCACAAATGTGCTTTGCAACATAAGGTATGTTTCTATCGGGTTACTATAGCTTCGAAAACATTTAGAAACTTATTTAAATAAAATATTCAGGGTAAGATTTTTTTTTAAAAAAGTGATTCGGTGGAGATTATAGTTGATGTTCTTTCCCCAGCTCTTTAAATTTTCTGCAAAGTTCTTGCAAAGGAACCTCTGTTTCTGTAAAAAAAATGTTTACTTTCAAAATTATTACTTCTTTAAATTTTTTAAAACATAATGCGGAAGATGAAACCTATTCTACAAATGAAAACTGCGATACAACACCACGATGTGTGGCATATTTTAATATATATAGATTATAATGCAACAGATAACATTTAGGAAGCAAAACATATCGTAGAAATGACTGATATTGCCCCCCCCAAAAAAAGCTTTTCGATCATCATGGCCTAATCTTAAATTGGTCCAACAAAAGCGCGATAAAATTGGGCAGCGCATCTGATCGAAGACCAAGAGGTGCGTCACAGGTAATAAGACAAAATGCAATTGTCTGAAGCAGATTCACAAAGGAAACCAAATAGAGGGGGGTCTTGAACAGGATATGAACTCTTCCTGTCTGTTGCACATTTTCCTCTGCACAAGTTAACCTCCTTCAATCATCCTAATGCCATGCAGGAGCACTGGATAGCCTTGATTGTCTGAGTAACTCTACCTCAATGTCTTTTTTTCTCACCCTTGGATATTTCTCACGGTCTTTGCAACACGTCTTCCACTTGTACCACATATCCTCAGGAGGATTCAAACTCACTTCTCCTTCCAGTTCACAAAACCAATTCCTGCTCTTGATTAGGTGGGATCAGGTTGCTCCATAAGAACCTATTTTTTTCTCTCTTAAACTGGACTTCTTAAAGTGTTGATTGCAGGTTGCTAAAATATATGAAACATCACAAGTTTTTTCCAAATATAAAATACTTGACCAATATAGTTCAGAAGCAGTTCCACTGCTAAATGGTCTGATCGTCATTGTTAACCAATATACGTTAAGTATTAAATTTGATCCAGAAGCAAATCAGATGTGACTAGTTTACGTGATTTAAATATATAGGTAAGAGGGACTGGTCCTTGAGAAACTCTATTCAACACTTCTTTCCAGCTTCTTATCCAAATTACATGGAGTTTCAGCTTTCGCTCTGCCAGTCTCAAAGCAATTTGAAGGCTCTTTCCATCGGTGTAACCCCTTCCCATACAGTCCTGTCCAATGCAATTATGTCCCAAAATGTAGCATCTAGACATCACTCTGCCCTGAGACCCCTTCTGCTATGTAAATTTCTATTATTCTATGACTGGCTGAACTTGAAATTCAAGCTGCGTGTGATCCTGGATTTGTCCGTTAGTATCTCAGTGCAATATTATTCATGAACCATCAGGGTCAAATTCAGAAGGCATTGGCCTTGTATGTTGAATATAAACGTTCCATTTTGATAGATCACCGAATGCCTATTTGCTGACTTAAGTTCAGAACTTGCTGCTCAACAACAACCACCACAACAACTTGCATTTATACAGCACCCTCACACAGTGTAGTGTCCCAGAGCGCTTAACAGTGGCGGAGCATGACACCACTTCGGGTGGGGATGGTGGCTGATGACCGTAGGTACTGTAGGTCAAAGACGAAGGTCTTCAGGTGTGCATTCTCAGTAAAATAAAGTTTGACTTGTTCTTCAAAGGATATAACAAATAATTCCCAAATAAATGTTCTACAAGTTCTGATTTGTTGAACACATATAAACTGTGTCAAGCCCTGGGCAATGGCTTTTTGTTGCCAAGTGACCCATAAATCATGGTGTAAACTATTATCCAGCTTTTACTCCATAGTTAACACTAACTAGCCCCTAAGGTAAGAGATTGTGGCAGTAAGGCATTACACCACACGTACATGATTAACTGGATTAGAAATAATAATGTCACACAGACAGGAATGCTCTGATCAAACATAATGGTGCAGTGACAGGTTAGGTTGGATTAGTGCTAATGTGGTGGAATAAGGTTTTGTTAGATAAAAGTTAATACTATCAGGATTGGTATAGTAACTTTACAGTGAAAGGATAATCCTCGCATTTGATATAGCGCCTTATCACGTCATCAAGATATCTCTAGGGCTTCACAGGATATACTGTAAAGTGGTGCAATAGTGTATTTTGTGTCACTTGTGAGAGAAAGAAAGTCTTGGATCTGCTGTTTATCTTCTGTTTCTGGAAATGGATGAAAAGTGTTTATCTTTATTTACACAAGTTGTTATTCCCCTGATTTGCTTGAAATAACCCCACATCATTTCTCTGTGGAGAAGCGAGCTGTTCCACTGGTGTGCCTCTTTAGTGTTTTATTTATTAAGAATAATTTTCTAATTAACATGTAGAAAAACAGATAGCCAGTAGCGATTAGGAAATCTCAATTTCACTAGAATGTAAATGATCAGAGTGAACCTTGAGATATTTATAACAATCATCTAAATGCCAAAATTGACTCTGTGCCTTAATGTCACTCCACTGTATCCAGTATTTTTAATAATGAATGATTCAGAGTTTTACTTTATTTCCTATTTAATTATATTGATGGGAGTTGTGGCGTACGCCAAGAGTTAGGATACTCAAAGCAACTGATACACAATAATCACTGGCTCTTTATTACAATGTGATGAAGGATTATTATTAAGGAAATTTAATGGACCGTGGATTATTCATCTCAATTATCTATCAAAATAGCAGGTGATAGTCCCAACTAGTCAATGCCAGCGTTTATACTCTGCATTCTCAAATATGAACCATCACCCGAATAATCCCTTCTCCTAAACCTCTCTATTCCCTTCCGCCTCATGTTTACATCCAGTTTCCTCTTAAATACATTGATGGCTTTTGCTTCAACCAAAGCTTCCTGTAAATAGTTGGAAATTCTCTGGTAACTACAAATAAATAGCTTAATTGTAAATATGTACAAAGAACTGTCCTAAAATGAGTACCAATCACCAATAATTTAATAAAATATTAAACCTCGATTATCCACCAATTTAAATTACTGACCAAGATTGGGGGATCCTTTCGCTGATAATTACAGCTGATAATTGAGATTTTACTGATACTAATAGCAATAATATTCCTTGCATTTGACATCGCGCCTTATCACGTCGTTGAGACATCTCAAAGCGCTTCACATTACGTAAACATAATGAAGCATTATTTTGGCAATTACTATTTCTCGGCTAGTTAATAAATTGTGTAAACGTTGCACTGACCATTTGTTATACAGCAGTATTTTCTGACTTAAAATAGATTATTGCCATTAAAAAAACAGTCTTATTTGTAAAACAAATGGCTCCTTTACATTTTCGGTGGGGGCAGAATAAATTGATAAATTAAATGCAAAGATAATGTAAATTTGTATACTGTAGAACAAACTCTCACGAAATTCGGCTGACTTTAATAAATGGGGAAATTCCTTTTTGGAGAAATTTTCTGAGACACCATTGAGTGAATACGAACTGATGGGTTTTCCATAATAAAGGCAATCTGATAACAGGAATAATTTAATTTACCCTCCAGCATATCCCAGTTAACAGGCTTCAACTGCACTATTGGAAGCTAGGAATATAAATTACTATTGTAGAGATTCTGCTGATAAGTACATTTTCTGTATTTTTTGTGATGAAACTTGATGTTTCTAAACTCTTCTCACTGTTTCTTGATTCTTTCTATCTCATGCAACCTACCAATGATGACATTGGTGTTGTGAAGTCTGATGCTACTACTGGGCAAGGCAATTGCCTTTGATTATTCTCTTCACCCTTTCCCCCTCTCTGTGGGGTTGCTTGATGCAG